GTAAACTACCACATAATTCACAATAAAACGTTTTTAAAAAGATTATGTATGTTACTCTGGATGCAGGGTTGATAGAGATTGGTAACTTAGACATTGGCTTCCTAAAATAGGTGTGGGGGTGCCTATAAAGGCACGAAGTGACTGGCTTACAAGTTTTCAAGAAGGAGTTTAGTTTCAAGAGTGCAGTAGAATCCCCACAGAATTGTCTTTTCTAGATAGGTCTGGTGAAAGGAGATGGGGCTAAGATTCTTATGATTCAATAGTGAGTAATTGTTATTATGACTAATTGTGACTGTCACACTGTAAAGGTAGAACTTTTGTAACATAAAGATGGGAGCAGTTAATCTTACAGTCCAGAAACAGAGGACCCTAGGACCATGAAGGGAAGAAGAGCACAAGCGGAATGCGAGACCCTACCCAGAGCAGCGGCCAGGCTCCAAGGCTGTTTTAATTGCAAGAAGCAGAAAGCCTCATCTCTCTCCTGCGGGGGGCCTGGTGGATTTGAGTTGCTGACTGTGGGGTTCACAGCCAGATTCGTAACCACTACACTACCAGGCCTTGCACCTTCAAAATGGCAGATCGGGTAGACGTGTAGTGAGGAGCTCTGTCAACAACAACACGGAATACCGGGCCAAGAGGGCTCACGAGATGGTGTTGGAACTCTGAAACAAATATAAAAGTATGTTTGGAGGATAGGAGGATTGGAGTGTTTACAGCTGGGGAATTTGCAGGAGAATCCAGAAATCCGTTGGTTTCTGGATCAAGACACTAAGCTGTTCCTGGAGCCGCCATCTTGGGAGAGAATATCTTGATTGTACCAGGATCGACAGTATCAGGAGAGAACATTTTGATTGTATCTTGATTATATCAGGATAGAAACAATATTGATATCAAAATTTAAAGTGACAGTATCGACATAAACCCAAATGGCCACCACTCGTCTGTCTGTTTTGCTGTGGTGGATTGAGTTGCTGTGATTCTGAGGGCTATGCCACCGGTGTTTTAAATAACCAGCAGGGTCACCCATGGTGGACAGGTTTCAGATGAGCTTCCA